ATTTGCCTCGATTAGGGAAGCGGGCAGCACACAGAGGAAGGGTCCCCCAGTGGAGGCCTCTTTGAGCGTCTTGGGGGCCTCTTGGCGGTCCCGGACGCCTCCTAGAGCGTCTTGGGTGCTTCGCAGAGCTTCTTGGGGCCTCTTGGGGGTCTCTTGGGAGCCTCTTGGAGGCCTCTTGGGCGCCTGTTGGGGCCTCCTGGGGCCTCCTGGGCGCCTCTTGGGGTTCTCTTGAAGCGCTCTTGGGAGCCTTGGGAGCGTTCTTGGAGCCCTCTTGGGCCATCTTGGAGCCATCTTGAGGCCTCGGATGGCCATCGGAAGCGAAAAGGCTCAAAGAAGGGGGCTCCCTTGATTAGCCTCGCACCTCGGGAGCCCCCCAAGTCGCCTTTTTGAGCGTTCTTGGGGCGCTCTTGGAGCGCTCTTGGGCGCTCTTGGGGCCGTCTTGGGGCTACCTTCGGCCCCTCATTGGGTTCTCTTGGGCCATCTTGGAGCTATCTTAAGGCCTCGAATGGCCATCGGAAGCGAAAAGGCGAAACAGTAAAACGCATTGATTTTCCAAAGGTTTTTTTAAGGATTTTGGCCTCTTGGGGGCATCCTTGGGGAGCTCTTTTGGCATCTTAGAGCCGTCTTGGAGCAGTCTTGGGGCGTCTTGGAGCATTTTGGGAGCCATCTCGAGGCATCTTGTGCTATCTTGAGCCATCTTGGAGCTCATCTTGGGCTCTCTGAAGCCCTCTCGGGGCCAGCTTGGGTCATCTTGGACGCCCTGACCGCTCGCGTGGCGCCTCGTCCAGGTCTAGGGGAGGAGGTAGGGGGAGGGGTAACCCCCTCCCCGAAAGGGAACACTCTAGACCACCAACGCCCAGAGGGCTGTTGGGATTCTTATCGCCTCGTGTCGGCCACCTGCGCCATCATCAGCGCGTCGCGGTTGACTGAAGGGGGCGGGCTGGCGACTCTGTAGATGCTCGAGTTGGCGTTCGGCTCCACGTGCGCTGGCACGTGGTCCTCGAGCGTGGCGCTCTGCTGTATCTGTAGCATCCTTCCCAATCTGATAAGCGTACTCAACTTCACAGTGTTGCCAAGTATCTTCGCCGGGCGCAGGCAGTGGTCTATTTTCGACGATGCCCCTCGTTGAAAAAACGTTGGCCCTGTCCTCCAGAATATACATGCACTGCTCATGTGCGGCTCCTCTGCAAACGTGCGCAGCTGCGTGGATACGGTAGTCTCGTGCGTAGCCTCTACGGTGCCCACGTGCGCGTCCCCTGTTGTGTAGCAAACTCCCACCACGTCTCGCCGAATGCCACATCCACAATTTAATTGCCCTACCACTATCGGTAACGTGTTGTTCCCTTCTCGTTCAAGCTGCCTGCCTGCCGATCCATTACAACATGCGCGTATTGACCTCTTTGAGTATGATGGGACTTGTGCCCTCCGGTGGGAGGTACACTGGGAAAAGACATACCTGCTGCCCGTGCACAAACAGCTTCACTTTGGCGACCCTCCCCGTGATGTCGTGTGATCTCGGTGGGGTCACTGCTTGCTGCACCCCTGGTACATACTGGCCAAGCAATACAGCTATTCCACACTACTTAACTAACGTGCTTCGTGAGCTTCCATCCGAACTGTAACACCTGCTGCATGCGGATATGCTCTAAGCGCGTGTATGTCGCGCTCTGGGCTTCGCAGTAGACGATCTTGAACACTATCCTGGCGACACCTCATGTGCCTCCCCCCTCGTCTGTGGACCTGTTTGCCCCTAGGCCGCATTCGGCCCGAGGAACGCCATGTCCGCTCTGAAACATAGTGTGTGGGGATTGGTGGTGCTGTAGCTGCCTTGTGCTTTCTGGAAGCCGAGGTGGCAGCTGGAAAAGAACGAGGAGGAGGAGGAGGAGGAGGAGGCGGAGGAGGAGGAGGAGGAGGAGGAGGAGGAGGAGGAGGAGGAGGAGGAGGAGGAGGAGGTGTGGAGGGGGAGGAGGCGGAGGAGGAGGAGGAGGAGGAGGAGGAGGAGGAGGAGGAGGAGGAGGAGGGCGAGCAGGAGGAGGAGGAGGAGGAGGGCGAGCAGACGAGCCAGAAGTCTCTTGAATGCCTCGTTGGAGTCTCCTCGGATGTCGCTTTGAAGCTTTTTGGAGGCCTCTTGGGGCGTCTGGGGGGCATCTTGGCGGGCCCAGCGTCTTGGGTGCATCGGGGATCCTCTTGAGGCCTCTTGTGGATCTCTTGGGAGCCTCTTGGAGGCCCCTTGGGCGCCTCTTGGGGCCGTCTGGGCGCCTCTTGAGGCCCTCTTGGGGCGCTCTTGAGAGCCTTGTGGGGCGCTCTTGGAGCCATCTTGGAAGAGATCGATCAAACAAGGGGGGGTACTCACTTAGCTTTGCGTTTCTAGAGTGCCCAAATTCGTCTCTGGGACCCCTCTTGGAGCGCTCTTGGGCGCTCTTGGGGCCGTCTTGGGGCTTCCTTGGGCCTCTCCTGGAGCCCTCCTGGGCCCTCACGGAGCTATCCTGAGGCCTCGGAAGGCCATCGAAGCGAAGAGGCGAGAAAGCAACACACATTGATTTTCCTTAGGCCTCTTGGCGGCCCCCTTGGGAGTCTCAGACGCATCTTGGAGCCGTCTTGGAGCGTTCTTGGGGCCTCTTGGAGAATTTTTGGAGCCATCTTGAGGCATCCTAGGCTATCTTGAGCCATCTTGGAGGTCATCTTGGGCTCTCTGAGGCACTCTTGGAGCCGCCTTGGGCGAAACATATCCCTCTGACACCTCGCGGGGGCGCCCCCTCCAGGTTCAGGGGAGGGGGCAGGGGGACGGGTAAACCTAAGTCGGGCGTGTCCCTCTACAGGCAGGAGGAAGATTCAAAGTTATCCTGGCGAAGGACCCAACCATGTGCAGCTGTGTGTAACGCAGTTGTGGATATCGTCCTCGGTGAACCGCTCTCTGAGGCCACGACGCGTGTGACGGGTGTGCCAACATTGGCACGGGTACGCCATGCGGACGCTGCAGCCGGAGCCCTCGGTGGAGCCCCATGTGAGGCCACGAAACGTGTGAGGGGTGCGCCGAAATGCAGGGTGGAACCACGTGCGGACGCTGCCACTAGGGCCTTTCGGGGCCACGAAACGTGGAAGGGGTGCGCCGACATGAAGGGTGGAACTGCATGCGGAACCTGTCACTGGGGCCCTGGGTGGAACACTTTCTGGGGCCACGAAACGTGTGAGGGGTGCGCCGAAACAGAGGTGGAACTGCATGCGGACCCTGCCACGGGGGCCTTCGGTGAAGCACCTTCTGGGGCCACGAAACGTGTGAGGGGTGTGCCAGAATGAGGTGGAACTGCATGCGGCCCCTGCTACTGGGGCCTTGGGTGGAAGGGGTGCGCCGAGGGAGGGTGGAACTGCGTGCAGACCCTGCCACTGGGGCCTTCGGCGGAGCACCCTATAGGGTCACGAAACGTGTGAGGTGTGCGCCGGAATGAGGGCGGAACTGCATGCGGACCCTGCCACTGGGGCCTTCGGCGGAGCACCCTATGGAGCCACGAAGCGTGTGAGGGGTGCGCCGAAATGGAGGTGGAACTGTATGCGGACCCTGCCACGGGGGCCTTCGGTGGAGCACCCTATGGAGCCACGAAGCGTGCGAGGGGTGCACCAAAATTGAAGTGGAATTGCATGCGGACCCTGCCACTGGGGCCTTCGGCGGAGCACCCTATGGGGCCACGAAACGTGTGAGGGGTGCGCCGAAATGGGGGTTGAACTGCGTGCAGACCCTGCCACTGGGGCCTTCGGCGGAGCACCCTATGGGGCCACGAAACGTGTGAGGGGTGCGCCGACATGGGAGTGGAACTGCATGCGGACCCTGCCACTGTGGCCTTCGGCGGAGCACCTTCTGGGGCCACGAAACGTGTGAGGGGTGCGCCGAAATGCAGGTGTAACTGCATGCGGACCCTGCCACTGGGGCCTTCGGCGGAGCACCCTATGTGGCCAAGAAGCGTGCGAGGGGTGCGCCGGAATTGGCGTGCGAGAGAGCAGAGGCAGGGAGGGGAGGAGGGGGAGGAGCGCGGAAAGTGAGGTGAGATGAGACGCGGGGCGCTGTCTCCTCGAAACGAGGACCCAACACCACAGGATGGTTGGGACATAGTCAATCGGGGGACGATTTTCGGACTATGTTTTCAATTTTGAATAATTGAATATTTTTTCGTCCAAAATCCGCCCGTAGGAGGACATGCCCGACCTAAGGTTAAACCCCTCCCCGAAGGGGAAAATGAGGTTGGAAGAGAAAGCTCTCTAGACCACCTACGCCCTAAGGGCTGGTGGGATATGGCTGGCCGAACCCTGGGGAAAGCGTCTTCTTCAGCACTGGCTGCCTAGCGTGCGAGCTCGACAGCGTCAATGTCTCCGGGAGCATGTCGTCTTGGTTTACCCCGCAGCTGCTGCACGAGGTGCGCCGGCAAAGTGGCTTGAGGAGGGAACCGCTGTTTTTTCGACGGGGCTCTACCTCGGTCGCGATTCACGTCAGGCGCGGCGATGTAGAGGCGACCGACGTGAAGAGAGGCACCAGCGACGCCTGGTACCTCCGCCTGATCGATCAGCTGCGGGAGATCGTACCCGACCCCGACATCCACGTTTTCAGCTCGTTGGAGGAACAAGGTGGAGGAAGAACATTGTTTGGCCAGCGCGCCTCTGACTTCGACTGCTACAGGCAGAGGAACGTGTCGGTGCACCTGGACAAGAATGCCGTGGCCCACATGGCCCACTTCGCCATGGCCAGCGTGGCCGTTCTTGCCAAGAGCAGCTTCTCGCACGCGCCCGCGCTCCTGAACCACAACTGCGTCGTCTACCAGCCCTACTGGCACCGCCCGTTGGACGGCTGGGTGGCCGCGGGGCCGAGCGAGCGGACGCCGCTCGGCCCCGAGGCCTGGGATGCGCTGGCGGCCTGCGTACACGGGGTGCGGCGCCCGTAGGCGGCGAGCCGCCCCGTGGGCCGCGCGCCATTCTGCCGGGTTGGCTAGGCGGGGGCGCGCCCCTCTACAGAGGAAAGCGCGCGTTCTTTGGTCGCTTGGAGGGGGGGGGGGGGGGGGTATGGAACCGGACCCCCCCCCCTCCCCCACTTCTCCTCTCTCCCTCTCCTCGGGCCGGCACCGGCGGCGGCGGCGGGGAGCGTCGATGAAGACGACGACTTCCTTTTCTGGGCCGGCGCCGGCGCCTGCGGCGGCGGGCGGCGGCGGCGGGGAGCGTCGACGAGGGCGACGGCGACGACGACGACGACGACGACGACGACTACGACGAAGACGCTCCGCCACCGTGCCGTGGTTTTGGGTCAGAGTCCTAATGGATGCCTGTTGGGGTCCCGTCGGAGAGTACTTGGGAACCTCTTAAGGGCATTTGTGAAGCCTCCTGGGCCCCTCTTGGGCATGTCTTGGGGCCTCTCTGAGGTTGTGGTGGTGGTGGTGGTGATGGACTGTGGTGGTGGTGATGGCGGTGGTGGTTGTGGCGGTGGTGGCGGTGGTGGTGGTGGTGGTGTGGTGGTTGGTTGTGGTGGTGGTGGTTGTTGTGGTGGTTGTGGTGGCAGGTTGTCGTGGTGGTGCTGGTGGTGGCGGTGGTGGTGGTGGTGCGATGGTTTATGGTGGTGGTGGTGGTGGTAGTTGTGGTGGTGGTGGTGGTAGGTTAAGTTGGTGGTTGTGGCGGTGGTGGTGTGGTGGTTTGTCGTGGTGGTTGTGGTGGTGGTAGTGGTTGTGGTGGTGGTGGGTTGTGGTGGTGGTGGTGGTGGCGGTGGTGGTGGTTGTGGTGGTGGTGGTGGTTTGTTGTGGTGGTGGTGGTGGTTGTGGTTGGTGGTGGTGGTAGGGGCTATGGTGATGGTGGTGGTGGTGTTGGTGGTTGGGTGGTGGTTTGTGGTAGCGGCGGTGGTGGTTGTGGCGGTTGTGGTGGTTGTGGTGGTGGTGGTGGTGGTGGTGGTGTGGTTGTTTGCTGGTGGTGGTGTTGGTGGTTTGGTGGTGGTTGGTGGTGGTGGTGGTTGGTTGGTTGTGGTGGTGGTGGTGGGTTGTGCTGCTGGTATTAGTAGTGGTGGTTGTGGTGGTGGTGGTGGTGGCGGTGGTGGTGGTGGTGGTGTGGTGGCTTGTGGAGGTGGTGCTGGTGGTGATAGTGGTGGTAGTGGCGGTGGTGGTGGTGGTGGTGTGGTGGTTTGTGGTGCTGGTGGTGGTGGTGGTCGTGGTGTGTTGTGCTGCTGGTAGTATTGGTGGTGGTTGTGGCGGTGGCGGTGGTGGTGGTGGTGTGCTAGATTGTGGTAGTGGTGGTGGTGGTAGTGGTGGTGGGTTGTTGTATTGGTGGTGGTGGTGGTGAGCTGTTGTGGTGGTGGTGGTGGTGGCTGTGCTGCTGGTAGTGGTGCTGGTGGTGGTGGTGGTGGTGGTGGGTTGAGGTGGTGGTAGTGGTCGTGGTCGTGGTGGTGGCGGTTGTGGTGGTGGTGGTGGCGTGGTGGTTTGTGGTGGTGGTGATGGCGGCGGTGGTGGTGTTGGTGGTGGTGGCTGTGCTGATGGTAGTGGTGCTGGTGGTGTTGGTGGGTTGCGGGTGGTGGGTGGTGGTGGTGGTGGTGGTCGTAGTGGTGGTGTGGTGGTTTGTGGTGGTGGTGTTGGTGGTGGTGGTGGATTGTGATGATGGTGGTGGTGGTGGTGGCGGTGGTGGTGCTGGTGGTGGTAGTGGTGTTGTGGTTTGTGGTGGTGGTGGTGGCGTGGTGGTTGTGGTGGGTTGTGGTGGGCTGTGGTGGTGCTGGTGGTGGTGGCGTTTTTGGTGGTGGTGGTGGTGAAGTGGTTTGTGGTGATGTTGGTGGTTGTGGTGGTTGTGGGTTGTGGTGGTTGTGGTGGTGGTTGTGGTGGTGGCGGTGGTGGTGGTGGTGTGGTGTTTTGTGATGGTGGTGCTGGTGGTGGTGGTGTGGCCTTCGGCTCTTCCCGCCAGTGTGTTTTGGCTTTGGGTCAGGGTTCTAATGGATGCCTCTTGAGGGGGCGTCTGAGGAGCATGCGAAGGCTCGATATGGTGATTTGTGTGTTCCTTCTGCGGCCTCTGGGCCTTCTCTGGTCATCGTCGCTACGTCCATGCAGTCGGCGCTGCTTGCCGCCGCAAGCGCTGGCGCCGGCGCTGGCGCGGGGGGGTGTTTCTTGGGCCCTCTCTGGTCACCGTCGCTGCGTCCCCGCCGTCGGCGCTGCTGGCGGCCGCCAGCGCCGTCGCCAGCGCCGGCGCTCGGGGGGGGGGATGGTTTGGAACCCTTGGGGGGGGGATTCGGGAGTGGGGGGGGGTTAGTGGGGGAGGGGAGTCTCCCTGGTTTTGATCGACGGCGCCGAGTGTTGGGGGGGGGCCCACCCCCCGTTTGGAAACGCGCCGCCGAATGTTCCCAATGCGAGCGCCCGTGAAACGCGCTCTCTCTACAGGGGGAATATTCAAAAGTAGTTAAAAAATCGTTAGGGGACGATTTTTTGGCTATTTTCGTTTTTGTTTGAATATTTTACGACAGTGTTTTACCTTGCGTCCAAAATTCGCCAGTAGGGGGACACGTCCGACCTAAGCTTAGCTGGGTGCATCGCGGGCGGCCTGGGCGCGAGCTATAGGCACGCGGCCGTGCGTCTTTCCAGCGCTCGGCCTTTCGGAGGCTGGGCACGTGGGGCTCAGGCCACGCGTTTCCACTGCGCGGCCTCGGTGTATTCCACCTGTGAACTCGGCCGTGCGTGTTCCCACCTTCCTGGTGCATGCTGGCATACCAGTTTCTTCCTTGATGGGCTTGTCGTATCGGAGACGCCTACGGCGAATCACCGCCGCACCTTGCCCTTTAGGATACGCCTATGTGGCCAACGTTTAGGCCAAATTTGGCCACTCTATTGGACCATGCGTTCCCCCAGCCGTTGTGGGAAGCCCTTCGGGGAACACATGGGGGAGGAAGAGGAGGATAAGGAGAGGGAGGAAAAAGGAGGACGAGGGGAAAGATGATGAGACCTCTTGGGAGCCTCTGGGGTCACACTTGTGGCCTCCTGGGAGCTTCCTGGCGGCCTCCTGGAGGCCTCTTGGGGGCCTTCTTGGGGGGGCCTCTTTGACCGTCACAGGGCGTTCCTGGTCCGTCGGACGCCGTCGGGAGCCGTCTTGGGGACCGTCTTGGGGCCCTCTTGGGGCGCTTCAGGGCCGTCTTGGAGGCCATCTTGGGCGTCTTGGAGGCCTCTTGGGCCGTCTTGGGGCTCTCTCGGGGCCGCCTTGGGGGCCTCTTGGGCCGTTCTGGGGCCTCTTGGGCGATCTTGGGGCGGTCTTGGGGGGCTCTTGGGCCGTCTTGGGCCGTCGGAAAGCCAAAAGGAAGCAAATGCAAAAACATTTCAAACACCGACGTAAAATCAAGGATTGTGGCGTCTTCGGGCTTTCCTGAAGGACCTCTTGGAGGCCTTTTGGGCCGTCTTGGAGGCTTCTTGTTGGACTCTCCGTGGGCCGTCTTGGGCTCTCTTGGATCATCTGATCGGGCTCGGAGGCATATTCGGACCATCTCGGAAGCCATCTTGGGCCTATCTTGAGCTCTCTTGTGGCTATCTTGGCCGTCTGGGATGCCATCTTAGCCGTCTTGGAGGCCATCTCTACAGGAAGAGCCGACGGGAGACGCAACTGGACGAGCTTTCCGCCTGGCCGGCGGCATCGGCCGAAGCCCCAGGAGAAGCTCCAACAAAACCAATAACCGCCAGACGTCTAGCACGGAGGAGGAGGAGGAGGAAGAGGAGGAGAGGGAGGAGGAGGAGGAGGAGGAGGAGGGGGAGGAGGAGGAGGAGGAGGAGGAGGAGGAGGAGGAGGAGGAGGAGGAGGAGGAGGAGGAGGAGGAGGATGAGGAGGAGGAGGCGGAGGAGGAGGAGGAGGAGGAGGAGGAGGAGAGGGGGAAAGAGAAGAAGAAGAAGGAGGAGGAAACGGAGGAGGAGGAGGAGGAGGAGGAGGAGGAGGAGGAGGAGGAGGGGGAGGAGGAGGAGGAGGAGGAGGAGGAGGAGGAGGAGGAGGAGGAGGAGGAGGCCGAGACCACTCGGGGTGGTGTCTCGGCCGACCGCTCGCGCTGGCCACCCCGAAAGGCGCCCACAGGGTGGGAAGCAGTGCCCCTGACGCTTCAACGCTGGCTAAGATGGCCCAAGATGGCCTTCAAGGCGCGCTCAATATGTCATGGCGCCAACATCGCAGAGCGGTTTTCGTTCGGAAAACACTCGGATGGGCCCAGGTTGTCCTGGAGCATTTCGTTCCGCATTTCGAAGTGAATTTCGCTCGGATCTTTTTGGCCATGAACTAAGACAAACAAATCCACACTTCGTTTTTCGCTCGTCATTGTGGGGTTTTGCATTGACAGAAAGTCCGCTGCAGCACGTCTGCAAGGTCGGTGCAGTGAAATATGACCTCCAAGACGCTCTCAAAGACGCCTCCAGGACGGCCAAGATGGCCCCAAGACGGCCCAAGATGTCCTCCAGACGGCCCCAAAGATGTCCCAAGAGGGCTCCAAGGGGGCCTCCGGGAGGCCAGAAACATTGACCTGCCTGTGGCGTCTCGCTCATTTTGCGTTGTCACCATTTCGGGCTTCCGACGCTCCAGGACGGCTGAAGATCGCCCCCCGACGTCCCAGGAGGCTCCCAGGAGGCCCGCAAGAGGGCCCCAAGACGACCCAAGAGGCCCCCAAGACGGGCCCAAGATGGCCGCATAGACTTCCAAGACGGCCCTGAAGCGCCCACAGAGGAAACCGCGCCTGCCCGGAGAGGGCCCACAAACGGCCTCCTGAGGCCAAGAGATCCTTGAGAGGCCCTCAGAAGGTTTCAATGCTGCTTGGCCAGACTTCGGCCCGACGTCTGGCCGCACGGGCGTTTCCAAAAGGCGGGGGGCGGCGGTGATACGTCATGCCATTGCCCTCTTTTGAATATGCCCAGCCTAAGACAGCGCGCTTGCCTACTACCAGGTGTTCGCGCTCAAGAGGTTCTTAGCTGTGATGCTGAAGCCAAGGCTTCACTACCTACCTCCAGCACAACGAAGAACCGGAGGACAGCGGAAGAAATGAGCCAACGACATCTACAATTGTTTTACATTCCAGGAGCATCGGGGAGACTGCGACGACAACGACGCCTATTACAGACATTGGTATACATATCGTTACTTTTGGAGATATAGTGGGGTATAAGAAACTAGCTGTCTGGATCACTGCGTTTACAACCCCCATTGCATGCGCTGAACCTTCTCCGGGTTACCAACGCCACGTTTCCCACTCCCGCTTCAGTTCTTACAATTCCGGTTCTGACCTCACTGTTTTCTGCTGTTGTCCTTCCGATTACGGCTCCCTCTCCACGGCTGCAGCTCCTACCGCAGCGATCTCCAGATTCCGACACCCGTGTTCATCTTTCCCATTTCTGCGCCCATTTTCCGGATTTTTGTTTTCAGTCGTCTTCCTGATGGTACCTTTCCGACTCCTGCTGTCCTCTCTCCGACTCCGGCTCCTACTCCCGCGTTTCTGGTCGTCTCTCCGACCCCAGCTCTTGTGCTCTGCACCCGTGTTCGTTTCTCCGACTCGTGCCTCCGATCTTCCTGACTCCTGCTCTCGTCTCTCCGACTCCGGCTCACACCTTAGGAAGCACGTCCTGGGAGGTTAGATTCAGCATCGGCGCTGGTATAATCGCAAGTAGTTCCGTTTGATTCCGCTCATCGTTCTTGCGAAGGTCTCCCAGAAGTTGTTTCCTAGGGTACTCCTGCAACTCCGGCTCCGACTCCGAACCCATCCCCGACACCACCGCTGGCTCCGACCCCAGCTCTCTAGCTCCCCCGTCTGCCTCCGAACCCCCCTCCGAATCCTGCTCCGGCTCCAGTTCCGACTCTGGTCCGATTCTGGTTCCGGCTCCTACACGTGAGGCCTGGGCTCAGACAGGATTGCCACGACAGTTTCTTACCAGAGACGGTCGGGCCTTCCCGATGGTTCTTTTCTGGGGATTCTCCACGCCAGCTTCGACTCTAGCTCAGAGTCTAACTCTGGAACGCTGGCCCCGATGCCAGCTCCGATTCCAACTCCAACTTCGACTAAAATCAAGTGGGCCATAATTACGCCCGACCCCCGGCCGAAGTTTGTTCGGCTCTGGCGCTTCCCGCTCCTGAGATTGTCGCTCCGACTCGGGCTCCTACCTCTGGAACATACGGAACAACGCTTTATGCAACACGGGCATTGCTTGTTTCCACACACTTGTCTTCCTGACTTTGGTGAGCACGTCCTCTTCTTTAGCTACGGCCGCGTTTTTCCAGTTCCGCCTCCTATCCGACTCCGGCTCTTCCGGTAGCAAATCACGGGAGCCTGGTATGCCCTTGTAATTCCGTCTTTAGCGTCGACTAGCGTCGTTTAGCGTCTGGGCGTCGATGAGACAGCGCCGATTTAGCGCCAGCTAGCGTCGATTAGCGTCGATTTAGCGTCGACTATGGTCGATTAGCGTCGATTCGCAGCAGCCGACAAAATGGTACAGTGGAGGCCCAAGCCACGAAACACCCTGCCTGCCTCCAGGGTGCCTTGGGTTTCTTGGGTTTCGATGGTTTTGCCATGGGCAGCGTGACGTTCCACACCAAAAACCAATGGACGTCCCAGAGTTTCAGGGTTGGGTTTTTTGTGGAAGGGTTTCTTGTGGACTGTCCTCCGCTGTAGCGTCGTTTAGCGTCTGGGCGTCGATGAGACAGCACCGATTTAGCGCCGGCTAGCTTCGATTAGCGTCGATTTAGCGTCGATTATTGTCGATTAGCGTCGATTCGCAAGAGCCGGTAAAATGGTACAGTGGAGGCCCATGCCAAGAAACACCCTGCTTGCCTCCAGGGTGCCCTGGGCTTCTTGATGGTTTTGCTATGGGAAGCGTGACGCTCCCACACCAAGAATCACAATGGACGTCCCGGGGTCTCAGGGTTGGGTTTTTTGTGGAAGGGTTTCTTGTGGACAGTCCTCCACTGTATGGGAGGCTCCCATGACTTTTATGATGTTCCAATCGACTTTAGCCTTGATCACCAGAAAGAATGTCGAGCACCAGGGAAGTACCGAACCCGGAGTGTTTTCACGTGTCGGGCCCTGGGAGGTGATACTCGCTCGACTCTGTTTCGATACTTTTCTGGGTGCCCGAAATTATTTCTGGGATGTGGTCCTTCAGTGCGGTTGGAGCAACGTAAGTGGAAGGGTTTCTTGTGGGCTGTCCTCCACTGTATGGGAGGCTCCCGTGAGTTGCCACCGAAGGCTCCCAGCTTTCCGTTTTCAGCTCCCACCACCGCCTCCCGACTCTCGGGCCCCGGCCCGCCGCAGCGCTGCCCTCGCAGGGGCCGGTCCGTTGGGCCGACGGTGCGAGCTCCGCTCTTCCTCCCCGTCCTCCTCCTCCTCCTCCTCCTCCTTCTCCTCCTCCTCCTCCTCCTCCTTCTCCTCCTCCTCCTCCTCCTCCTCTCTCCTCCTCGCTCCTCCTCCTCCTTCTCCTCCTCCTCCTCCTCCTCCGCCTCTCCCTCCTCCTCCTCCTCCTCATCCTCTCCTCCTCCTCCTCCTCCTGATCCTCCTCCTCCCTCTCCTTCCCCCTCCTCCTCCTCCTTCTCCTCTTCCGCCTCCTCTTCCTCCTCCTCCTCCTCCTCCTGCTCCGCATCCTACGTCCTAGCCCACGGGAGCCTCCCGACCAGGGGGGTGCGTCCGTCCTGAATCGCCGCCCTGGCCGAAAGTGTAAGGCTCGCTGTGGAGATACTTTTGCGAAAGCCAAGCGAATTCCTGTGGGCTCAGCGCTGGCTTCCCCACCGAGTCCTCTCTCTCGAGGGGCATGCTCCACCTGCTTCTCCGCCCTCCGCGCCCGCGTCCTCCTCCTCTGAGACTCCTCTGTGCTCCTGCTCCTCCTCCGTCAGTCATCCCTCCTCCTGCTGCTGCTCCTCCTCCTCCTCCGTCCACGGTCCTCCGTCCTCCTGCCTCTCCGTCCTCCTGCCTCTCCGTCCTCCTGCCTCTCCGTCCTCCGTCCTCTGTCCTCCGTCCCCCATCCCGCGTCCTCCGTCCTCCTTCTGCTCCTTCTGCTTCCTGCCCCCCTCCATCTCATCCCGCGCAGCAGCCCGTGGGCCCGCTCTTCACTGCTGCCGCCACAGACGACGGAACGAACAGCCCAAACCCACACCCATGGTGGGGTCGGAGGGGGGGAGGACTGGCTGTGGGGATGGGCGCGCGCGGGCTGTCGGAACCTGGGGGGGGGGGCGCGCGCCCGAGCGGGGGCCGCCATCCGAGAACACGCACCCATGGCCCCCTTCGCCCCCCCTCAAATGGGTATGGGTGCGCGCTGTTCGCTCGTCAACAGACCGAGGACGGCTGACCCACAGCAGCAGGCGGGGGGGCGCGGCCATCGAGCCGTGCCGCAAATTTCTGACCATACGTAAAAGCCGTCCCCGGTCCGCGGCGCTGGTACGGTGCAAGGCAGGCCCGCCAGCAGTGGTCTCGGGGGCGTCTTCTTGGAAGGGAGCTGGCGCACTCCATGGCCCGTTTCGGTTCGAGTCGATGCAGTTCGATGCCGAATTCACCAGGATCGACCCGATTCGGCTTCGATCTCCCGGCGATCCGATGCGGCCCGATGCCTGCACATCGTAGTCGTGTAGTCTCCAGGCGCAGCCGGCCCGATTCGATTTCGATGCCGTGCGGAAGCAGCCCGATCCGACGCATCTTGCGATTCGATCCAGCTTACCGATGCGGTGAGGACTGATGCTGCACTCGCCTCTACCCCGCCCTCGCTTCCCTCCTTTACACGTCGAATCAGCGGGGTGACTCCTCTGTCCTCGCTCTTGCCGCATTCCTCGGCGTCCGGATGGCCTCATGTAGCTTCGTGTTTGCGGCTGGTAGCCTCGGACCGGCTTCGGGCAGCCTCGGAATGGCTTCGGATAGCCTCGGGTGCCCCCCAGCACGGCGCCGATGGCCCCGCCACGACGGCAGAGAAGGCCCCCCCCCGCAGACTCGGCAGAGCTTCCCCCTCTCTCGCCCCAGAGATGCCTCGATGCGGCGGCAACTGCGGCGTGGGTGTTCGACCGAGGTTGAGCAGCCTGGGGGGGCCCGCTTCGGGCCCCGGTGTCCGCGAAGAACAGCCCTCATCGGCGGCGGGCGAGGGTGGGGAAGTGAGAAGGAGAGGGCCTTCTCAGAAGGTGGGTGGGCTTCTCATAACCTTTGAGAAGTTTTCTGCGTCTTTGGGAAATGGCTCAGACAACTTCCCAGAAAGCCAGGAGACTTCTGAGCCTTTGAGAAGGACCGCCCCTTCTCACTTCCCCCCTCGCTCGCCGCCGACCACAGCACGAGATGCGCGCGAGAGATCGGGTCGACCGACAGCTTCTGGGGACCTCTCCGAGAGTGGAGATCCTTCATTGAACCTTCAAGGTTTAATGGTTCGCGCGGTGTCAACAAGAAGGGCCCACGTCATGCCAAGGACATCCAGGAACATGCCGTACCTGATCGCGAAGTTTTTTTTCGTACATTTCCTGAGCCTTCGGGAAACTTTGGGGAAGCAGGCGAAGGCAACCTCGGAGCGATCGGCCAGAAGGGTAGGATGTCAGAAATCAACTGTGCAGGCTTGTTGTACCCTCTCCCCTCCCTCCGCTCCCCCCACTCGCGCTCTCCCTGCCTTCTCATCCTGCCCTTCCTTGTCGCCTTCCTCTTCCGCCCCCCTCACCTTCCCCCCTACTCATCTTATCCCCCAGCTGACTCCCCTCCCCCCATCACGTCCTGTCCTCCGCCCCATACCCCGTTGTCTCCGCCTATTCTCCCGTCCTTTCCAGTCGAAGAGAGCGCACCACTGGTCTTGTTGCACTGTTACGCCCTTGGTATTCCCAGTGCCATCCAGCCTATAATCCTCCTTCTTCTGTTCCTTCCCCTCCCCCTCCTTGTCCTCCTGCTCGTACTCGTCGTCGTCGTCGTTCTCCTGCTCTTTCTCCTTCCCCTTGTCGATGTCAGTCTGCTCCTCGTCCTGGCCCCGTCCTCGTAGTCCTTTTCCCCCTCCCGTCCCTCATTCCCTTCCTCCCTCTCTCCCCCCTCCGCCCTCCCCCCCTCCCCCCCCCCCTCCCCCCCTCGCCCCTCTCGCCCCCCTCCCCCCCTTCCCCCCCTCTCCACAATTACTCAATATGAAAATACTCTCCCTCTTCCCCTGATGGCGTCCGGGTGATGGCCGCGCACCCTCCGCGTACTGTTTTTTTACACACAGGATCCCCGGGAAATCCCGGGAAACGACTCTCGCTGAGGCGCCGGCGTCATTTTTTCCCCAAATGCTGCTCTCGTTGAGGCGCCGGCCTCATTTCTGCTCCCGAATCGTTCCGAATCGTGCTCCCGCTGCAGCGTGGGCCTCATTTTCGGATCGGTGTTTGGCCTCCGTCGTTCAGGATGGCGTTCTCGCCTCAGCGCGGGCCTTTTTCTCGCGCGCCCATCCGCCCGCCACCACCGCGCCGCACCACCACCACCACCACCACCACCACCACCACCACCACCACCACCACCACCACCACCACCACCACCACCACCACCACCACCACCACAACCACCACCAGCACCAGCACCAGTACCAACACCACCAGCACCAGCACCACCACCACCACCACCACCACCATCACCACCACCACCACCACCACACCACCACCACCACCACCACCACCACCACCACCACCACCACCACCACCACCACCACCACCACCACCACCACCACCACCACCACCACACAACCACGCACACACGCACGCACGCACGCACGTGCACCACCACCCACTACGCACGCGCGCGCGGAGCCGCAGGTCCGCTACGACACGCGTCCGCGGATAGAGAAAATCAGCGCCATGGTAAGGGATGGGAGGGAGGGGTAGGACGTCAGATATGACGCGAGCGCACCTAGCTTGCCCCTCTCCCCTCCCCCTCTTCCCCCTACCCTCCCTCTCCCCCTCCCCCTCCCCGCTCCACCTCCTCCTCCCTACCTCCCTCACCCTCACTACCCTCCCTCTTTTGCTCCTCCTGCTACCGGCTGCTCGTCCTCCTTCTCATCCTTCCCTCCTCCCCTATGCTCCTCCCCCACCCTCTCCCTCTCCTAATTCACCTCGTCGTCGTCGTCGTCGTCGTCGTCGTCGTCGTCGTTGTCGTTGTCGTCGGCTCCCTTCCCATCCTCACCCTCCTCCTTCTTCTATTCCACCCCCCTCTCATCCTCCCACTCTCTCCCAAAAGGGTGAGAGGGACAAATGGAGCACGGTGCGATGGACAATCAAAATGGCGTTAGGGAACGCAACCACGGGTACAGCCTCGGAGGGAAACGTACAACGGCTGGAGTGAGGTTGGGGAGGATGGGGGGGGGGAGGAGGAGGGGAGAGGGGGCAGCGGGAGATGGGGGCGAAGGCGGTGTGTGTGTGTGGGGGTTATGATGATGATGATGATGATGATGATGATGATGATGATGATGATGATGATGATGATGATGATGATGGGGGTGGTGGTGATGATGATGCTGATGATGATACTGATTTTGATGATGATGCTGGTTGTGACGATGATGCTGACGATGCTTATGATGCTGATGCTGATTGTGATGATGATGCTGCTGATGCTGATGATGATGCTGATGAGGCTGATGGTGCTGCTGATGATGATGGTGATGATGGTGATGCTGATGCTGGTGATGATGACGAGGATGACGATGCTGCTGATGATGCTGATAACGATGATGCTGATGCTGTTGATGATGACGGCGATGCTGATGCTGATGATGATGCTGATGATGATGACGAGGATGATCATGATGGTGACGACGCTGATGCCGATCATGCTGATGATGCTGATGATGCTGATGATGATGACGATGCAGATGATGATGCTTGTGGTGGTGGTGGCGGGAATGACGACGATGACGATGATGCAGAAGCTGATGCTGATGATGTAGGTGATGATAGCACTAATGCTGACGATGATCATGGTTTTGATGGCGTTGATGAAGATGATGCTGTTGCTGATGCTGATGATAATGGGATAGCTGCTGGTGACGACGATGACGATGACGACGATGCTGGTGACGGTGATGATGATCACGATGATCCTGATGCTGGTGGTGATGCTGATTATGCTGATGATGGTGGTGGTGGTTGTGATGATGATGCTGACGATTGCGTTGCAGTTGATGATGTTGCCGATGACGCCAATGGCGATGATGATGATTATGATGCTGATGCTGCTGATGATACGGATGCTGATGATGATGCTGATGCTGATGATGACTACGTGTGATAATTGTGATGGTGATGGTGATGGGCTAAGTGATGGTGATGCTGATGGTGACGGTGATGGTGATGCTGGTGATGCTGATGCTGATGCTGATGATGTTGATGTTGATGATGCTGATGATGATGGCGATTATGATGATGATGCTGAGTACGCTGATTATGCTGAAGATGCTGGTGATGATTTTGATGATGATGCTCATCCTGATGCTGATGCTGATGCTGATGATGCTGCTGATGATGATTATGCTGATGATTCTGATGATTATGAGGAGGAGGAGGATTATGATGATTATGATGACGATGCTGATGGTGGTGGTGGTGGTTGTGGTGATAATGATGATGATGATGCTGCTGATGATGATGCTGATGCTGATGCTGATGCTGATGCTGATGATGATGATGATGATGATGATGATGATGATGACCATGATGGTGATGATGATGATGATGATGATGATGATGATGATGATGATGATGATGATGATGATGATGATGATGATGATGACTATCTAATGGCCTTCGGCCCATCCCGCCACTCTGCCTGGGTTGTGGGTATGGACCTCGTGGGAGGCCTCTCGGGGGCCTCTTGGAGGCAGTTTGGGCACCTCTTGGGGGCCACTTTGGGGTCTCTTGGGGGCCTCCTTTTTGGGGTCTCTTGATGGCCTCTTGGGGACCTCTTGGGCGCCTCGTGGGGCCTCTTGGGGGCCTCTTGGAGTCTCCTGGGCGCCTCCTGGGGCGGAAGGCTCGGATTTTCGGTTCGTGTTCCCTCTCTTGGGTCCCTTTCGGGGCCGTCTTGGGGCCCTCTTGGGCCGTCTTAGGCGCCTCTTTGGCCGTCTTGGGGCCCTCTTGGGCCGTTTTGGGGCCCTCTTGGAGGCCTCTTGGGCTGTCTTGGGGCGGTCTTGGGGGCCTCTAGGGCCGTCTTTGGAGCGCCAGGAAGCCGAACAGGCGAGAACGCACAAATCCTTCAAAAACCTAAGATATCAACCAGCGACAGATAATAGCAACAATGATAACACACATAGAAACATAATGAGGATGCTGATGAGTATGATGATGCTGATGATGATGGTGATGATGGTGATGATGATGGTGATGAGGATGCTCATGGTGATGCTGCTGTTGTTGATGATGATTATGACGAT